ATGGAGGATGCAACTAGGTACAGATATGACTGAAATATATTTCAGTGAAAAATATTTGTTTGTTAAAACTTAACATTTAATAGATTGGTTAAAAAGTCCAACTGGTGGACTATGAAGAACGAGATAACCCACAGACAAAAAAATTATCAAAATAATACTATACAAAGAAAAAAATGACACACAAAAATAAATAAAAATAAATGTAATGGCTAAAATAGCCCGCTAGACTGGCACCTTAATGCATTCTCGTAAAGATACAGGACCTGCAAAACATAGGTAGAAGGTGTCAGAGCTCTATATCTATGGCAGTATGGTATAATGCATAACAAACTCCTTAATATTAGCATTCAAAGATGGACTATAATATACATATTCTTGCAAGTTACAGAGTGCAGAACTAGTGTAGGTTAGCCAGGGTATAATAATATTTACTGCTTTTGATGCATTGCAACTCCTATATAAGGAATCAAGTTTATTTTTTCTAAAACCATGTTTATGTTTCATGGTCTATATACGGTTGTGAGTCTCATGACCTTCAGCGCAGGGTTTATTGTGTATATTTATCCTTTTTTTAAATACATGTAATCATTTGTATTTATCATTTATGATTCATCCTTGCAGTTTAAAAAGAAAAGAAAAGAAAAGAAAACGTTGTATGCAGAAAAACAAAATAATAAAAAGTCAAATGGTTCCCCGCCCCCAGCACGCCTTACGTACAATGCACACCATGGTTGTCACCAGATCTGGGGTGCCCTTTATCTGCAGCCAGATTGTGAAATCAAAGCAACTCACTCAGTGCTGTTAGGACTGTGTACATAGATTTTATAAGAAAGCCTTTCTGGTATGAGGGTGTGTGGCTAAGGAGGCAGGCTTATGATTCAGAGTTTTGCAAAAATATTTTATGCAAAAACTATAAAAAAGGATTTTAACATGCAAATGAAGAAGGCATATTAATAAAGCCAAAACCAAAAAAATAAATGCATTAAAGTTGTATTGGTGCCAGAAGTGTCTTTACAGTAGTTCTGCCCTGCATGATCACTTACAAATGCAAGCAAACATGAATAGGCAGATAACCATTGGTGTAAGGGTAGCATTAGAGCTTGACTTCAAAAGATCTGCTATACAGGCTGTGTTACAAAGCAAGGCTGCTGCACTGCAGCTTTGTAATCACTGTATAACATGAACCCAATGTTTTTCTGTGTGTTGTGGGGGTGAGGGGCAGGGAGAATAGACTCCACACAGAGTGATGAAATCACAGTTGTTACATGGCAAAAAAGCCAAGAACCTCTCCAACTCCTGCTCTCAAACTGATTAATCATCATAATATTGCTATACGCCTTGGCACTATATGGTAGCACTAATCAGGTGTTTGTTTTTCCAAAATAGTCACCTGGCCTGATTTTATCACCTGTACTTACCTGGTTATTTCAATTAAGATTTTGTTATTTCATTTAACTCTGCTCCGGACAGGTTTCTATGTTTTTGAAACAGAATTACAGAATTAACAGAGAACTAGCAACTGTCTAGGGATATTAATGTTTTTTTTCACTAATCATTTGACTGTGCAAAGTAGTCAAGCTTCGTCTTGAAATTTTCCATTTCAAATTAGCTAGTTTAACTTAAAATTTGTAATCTGATTTTCAATTCACTACCATTAGGTGTTTAGTGAAAAAGCCCCCGTTGAAGTAGCCAATAGAGAATTTAGTTCTTCTTTTGCCCCTAATAAAAAGGAGGTTAGATGTTGTAGTTTTGTATCATAAAGTACAAGAAGGTTTTGGCACTCCAAGGTTCAGAAATGGCAATTTATTGAAGCCCAATGTAACACAACATTTTGACCTACAGGGTCTTTGTCAAGCTTGATACACTGGGCTACAATAAATTGCCATTTCTGAACCTTGGGGTTCCTAAACCTTCTTGTATTTTATGCATACTGTTATTGGGACTTGGTGCTTGGTCCTGGTTTGGTTGCACCCTGGCTCAGAGTGATGGGATAGAGTGCAGTTCTTCATTGTTTTTTGAAAAGTCATTTTGTGTCATGACTGGTTTACTAACTGATATGCAGTTGCACAGCCAATAGTGTAATTTAATGGAACAATCCAAACACCTAAACCATTTTAGCTTTCTGAAGAACCTTATGTGTGAAGTTTGTTCTTTTTTTTCTTCTTTTATATTACAAAAAGTGCAGATTTCAAGATATTGTGACTTGGGGAGTGGAGTTTGCCGTGGAGTCGTGGATTAGACGTGTATGGTTGGAGTTCATGCACTAAGCTGTAGAACAACAATTTTGCATGGTGCACTCTACTCCCTGTGTTTTCTGGCACGAGTCCCAAACCAAGCCAGACCTACGATAAAGGCCACATCTGATGGTGGTTCTTCTTCCTCGAGGAGCATATGGCTGATAGTCTTCCAGCTTCTGAGGAATTATATATGCCTGATCTCCTAGAAAGATGACGCTATTCAACAAAACCCTATTTTGGAACATTAAACAACTACTTGCTGCAGATGTGGGAGCACATAAACATGACACCCATACCCATACACTGCATAGCCACAGTGAGGAAGATCTTTGTGAGGCTGAAGTTGGTTTTGCTTCTTTTGTGACAACTATATGTACCACTCATGGTCACTCCAAGACCTTTCTAGGTCTGCTATGTAATGGCACCTGTCTCCTGTGATACAAGGGGATATCTCAATCTCAGATCGTTACATGGGATGGTCTGAGGATTAGTTAGCTGGTGTTTCAGGAGTGCCTAGGTTCCTGCAAACTCTGGGACTATCCCTACCTACGCTCAATGGGAACAGTTCTTCATCGTCACTAGGTTTGGGTGTGAACAACATCCCTCTTTTTGTACGAGCGGAAAGTAGTAGCGCGGCAATACCATGGGTGGACTTTTATATTCTGGGAAATATAGCTTTGTTAACATTTGCTTCGACCATACCTTCTCTCAATTTTTGTTTTTCACTCTCTATCCCCACTAGCTGTTCAACTAAATGATGTCTTTACTTGTTACATATATGTGTCACCTGTTAATATCAGATATTGTATTTGCCCGATAAGATTCTGGACCTACACTTTAGCATCGGCTCAGATTGCCATTTCAGTTGCTCAAATTGTTCTTGTTGAATATAATTTCACAACAGCTTTCTCAGAGCTATGTTCTGCTTGTTTGCCATTTCGTAAAACTGGTAAGTCGGTCTTTGTAGAGCTAATTTACTATATTATTGTTATTTTCTCTTTTTTGCCCCCCTGTTCTCTCCCCTCCCACGCTTCACAGATAATCTTGGCTGGGGAAGAAGATAAGAGATCTATCACTTATGCAAGCTGTTTTTAGACATACTAAATTAAATGCATGCACTATTTTATTGAGATGACAAAGAATTACTATAAGTTTGTTTTTTTAACCTATGTAAACAGCCCATTAACCACCAAGTTCAGAAACACTGCTGAATGTACAGAGGTTGAGCAAAGTATCTAAAATAGCTTATACAAAAAGTTAAAAAAATTTTGCACCAGTGTTACCACAGGTGTTTGGGAATTAAGCCCCTGTAAACCTAGTAAATGTATTACTACCAATTAACAATCTTGTGCAAAGAGAAGGAATAAGAGATTTAATAGATGATACATTATACTGATGGGGGAACCAGAGACTATACAATAAACTACCGGTATTTAAGTAATTTAAGAAATTATTTAAGAAATTCGGAATGAAAATACACCTTTAATCTCAAAACAACAGTGGAGTGCTTAGTGTCACAACAATGTGATACTTATGTGTTTTTCATAAGATATAGTGCATACAGAAAAAAACTTTAAGGGACATTATAATCAACAAAAAGACTTTTGCGTAATGAAGCCATTTTTGGTATTTAGATTATACTCCTGCAGTCTCAGTGCTCAATTATCTGCCATTTATGAGGTAAATCACTTTTGTGTGTGTCCGTGCAGCCCTAGCCACACCTCCCTAACCTTCCCTGGCTGTGACGGACAGTCTGCATGAAAAAAAGTGATTTAAATTTCAATCAGATGTCACTTACTTTAAAAGTTTTTCTCTCCTGCTCTGTAAATTGAACTTTAATCACACACTGGGCTCTTGCAGGTTCCAGAAAGCTATTAACAGAGCAGGAGATACGGATTACAGACACGGATAAACAAAATTTGCAATAAAGGAAGTGTAAACATTAAATCTCTCTTTACAGGAAGTGTTTAGGAAGGCTGTGAAAATCACATGCAAGGTGGTGTGACCAGGGCTGTATAATCAAAATTATTTAACTCCTAAATGGAAGATAATTGAGCAGTGAGACTGCAGTGGCATGATCTATACACCACACCTGCTTCATTAAGCTAAAGTTATTTTGGTGACTATAGCGTCCCTTTTCACTGTATTAACTGTATTCATTTGTCTTTTACAATAGGCAGTATATACATTTGAAGACAAAAATAAAAGAAGCAATAGTGTAAAACATTTTAAATGAGTGCTTAAAACTAGAATGTCAATGGAACACTCGCATCATCCAGAGCTATAGAACCTAGCTCTGATGTTAGAACAATTTGATCAGTTTTGAGCGATCACTACCCTCTTCAGGATAGAATCACAATATGCATATGGTTCTTATTGGACTCACAAGTGTGGAGCCTGTAACCTGGCTCAGTACAAAGGCTTTGTGTAGTTCAGGACTACACTCCCTTCTTTAGGAATGCAGGAGTCCTGACAGATGTTTAAAAAGGATATTTATTTAAGGATTTAACGACCTTTAATCTGTTTGCAGGACTGATGGCAAATAGTTTTATTTTACAAATAAGTTTTCTTACGATGTTCCCGTTGGCCTTGAACTTAATGCTGCACTGTTATTTATACAATGTATGTTCCATTTAACCCTTCCAACACAAGAAACCAGTCCATTTTAAGCTTGTAGCATTTAAACATTTACTTTAGTAATGATGATCCATTCACCACTGGGTGTCACTGTTTTACTGTTATCTTACAGTCATAGATGAGTACAAGGGATGTCCCAGGTACTTTGTATAGTGCATGTGCAGCATGCTTTATTCCTGCAGCCAGGATTTTTTTTAAAATTTTTAATAAAAACCAAATAGTGGTCATTATTTTCATGCCCCCTCACTGTACTCATTAGTAACTCCATTTCATGCCCATCTTTACTGCCAATTTTGTCACATATCTTATGCCCTTCCGTCACATCAATGACTGAGACTACTATCTGATGCCTGACCCCTTTCCAGTCACCCATGGTCTCAAACATTGCACCTCTAAACCCTGGATAACCACCTGTTTTATACATCCTATTTTTATTTTAATGTCCTGCCATTTATTTAATGCCCCTCCTGTTCGTATTTTCCAAGTCATAGTTTAATCTATACCGCCCTTCCCATCCATCCCATGCTTTCTTCCTCCCCACTGACCTCTTGTCATTCACATCTTGTTTACTTCTATATGCCTTCTACTGTCCATTTTATTCTCCCTATGCATACAATCTTATGTTTTATTTATTGCTTATATCATTCCCCCCCCTACGCAAAAGTGACTTGCAGTTCCCTATTTTTATCAAGCTTGCTCAGGAAGTGTGCGTATAAGAGTGCAAGGACACTACAAATGTCCTTTTTATGCACTCCTATGTAAATTGTTAATATTATTATTATTATTGGTATTTATATAGCGCTAGCTTATTCCACAGTGCTTTACAATAAAAGGGGAATTTACCAAATGAGACAATAACAAAATGTAACAGGAACAATAGGTAGCTGAGGACCCTGCTCAATCGAGCTTAAATCTGTGACTTGTGATGCGAACGGAGGTCAGCACACCATGAACGCATGTCTACAATGCCAAGCTAACTTGCCCTCCCGTTATTCACATACATACATACATACACTTTCAAATCGTTACTAGCCAGGCCTTACAAGTTACTCACTAAACAACAAATTACTGCTCACCATGGCCAAACTTTCACTTGCCAATGGTTATTGTAAATATTGAATCCTGATATTATATACACAACATATTTTACATATATAAAATATTCTTATTTAGAATATTCCAGCACCCAGAGACATCTCCCAGAAAAGGGTTATACCTATAACTAGTCATTAATGTCAGTCCCTAAAAGGTTTAATAATGTAATACTTGGCAGCCTATGTATGACACTTTGAGCCCAATCTCCTTTATAGGCTGACTATAGTGCAGTATGCTGTATTGAGACAGAAAATGCTTTATATAGCTTCTTTTAGTTTGTCTGTTTTTGTTCATGCCTGTACTTTGTCTTTGATCTTCTGCTCTTCCCATCACTCCATTTCTTATTGGTGTATCAGGATAGCAAACCGTAAAAGCATGCAGGACTGCGACAGTTTGTATTTTCCACCAAGATGTTACAAATTGTGCGCACAATGTATTTTTAATTTAGTAGATGATGAAATAAGTCTACATGAATTCAGTAGACCACAGCTTAGCAAGACACATAAAGACTGAATATTTACACAACTTTCATATTTACAGTTTTTGGCTTGGGCTGCCAGGCATGTTGAATTGTCCTCATTCACATGTTTATTCACTACAGTAAGAATTCAAAACGCATTTCACATTTCAAGCCATTGTAGCTAAGCTGTAAGCTATTTGGCCATACATTAGAAATGTCCTTTGAATTCACTGTCAGGGTTATTCAGTAAAGTGAGAATATAAAGTTAATTTCTGATTTAAGGCCACAGTAGCTGAACTTAAAACATAGCGGACTTAGAGAATGCTTCCAGATCACTTATTTAGACCTTATATTAGAAATTTACTTTGAATTCTCGATTTAGGGAGTGAACCAGACTGTATCGAGTAGATGGCCTAAACAAGGTGAGTAACTCATTTACAATTGGTCAAATATCAAATAAATAAATGAAAAAATAGCACCACTACAGTTTAATAGAACTATTTTATATATTTATTTGAAAAATACTTACAAAAGCAAATGTTTTGACACTAAAATATTGAATTTTTACTCTAGCTGTTAACATCAGTGGAGTTATGCATGCAGTGATAACAGTCTTCTGTTATAAGCATTGCTACAATTGAGGGAAGGAAAAGGGGGGTGGGGAGGGCTTTCTTAAAACAACCTTGGCATTGCCCTCACATACCTCCCACCTCCTTTACAGTAGTCAAGATTTGTGCTTAACTATCGCTCGCATAATGCTCTGTGTATGCGTGTGTGTGTATATATATATATATATATACTTATATATTATATACACATACATACATACATATATATTAATTTTGTTTATAACAAACAGTTCAAGTCCTTTGACTGACAGGCTCTACGCTGGTTTATTGATCACCACTAGAAGACCATCACAGAAGTTCTTGGTCTGCTACAGTTAACTCTTTCCAGCCAGCAAGCGGCAAGCCCTTCTGACAGCATTAAGCATGAAAGAAAAGTTTAAAGGGAGGACTAGGAACGAATACTATAAGTCCTGCAGGGCTGCAGCACATGGGTTAGAGAAACTCATAAGGTCCTTTTGGTCATATAGTCACCAATAGGGAACCCACATAGAATTGCAAACATTTAAATATTTAATCTAACACCACTGCAACATATTACTATTGCTAACTGGAGCAGGGCCTGAAAGAGAAAAGGCATTGGTTTTCGGAAAAATCTAAATAGATATAGAAATCCATTCCTCCATTACCAGGAAACTTGAAAAACACCATAATCACTTTTAAGCTTTCTGTTAAAGCAATTATTGCTGGGTGAGCACCATACTGACAATATACAAAATCAATTGCTCTTGCTATTTTGTTATGTGGAACAAAGATCTGTCCACAATGCAAACCTGAAGTGCTTATGAGATTTCAAAACAGGAATTCCTGAAATATTATCTACTGGTCCCAGAGAGTTCACAGCAAAACCTTTAAAGACCATTGACCACTCTGACGAAACAGGATTTAAATTTTTCTACAAAATCTAATACAAGGTGGCTCTCCACAGGCGCAAGGTGTTAAGACAAGACTGGCAACTCACTTTATTTAAATTTTATTATACAGGATCTTCCTTTGTATTAGAAACTGCAAGTCTGGCAGTATCTAGTTATGATTTTTTTCCCCACTATAGGCTGGCTGAGCAACACAGAAAAAAACCAAACAAATAAAAACAAACCAAAAACTTATCGACCATTTCTGTGCAAGTTAATGCCACCTCTCCAGTTAACTGTCCCATACACATCAGAACTAGGTGAGTAGGTCCTATGGGATGAATATACTGGAAGAGGTCTCTTACCACCTAGCTGAGGGGAATAACTGTTTTGTCTCCAATCATCATCTGGGGGCATATCAACTCTCTTTGGACTCTGAATTCTAGGCTGAGGCGCCAATGAACTTCTCCAGGAATCTCCTCTACCCACAGAAGAACTACGCGGCATTCTTAAGTTACCATACTCGACAGGAGACAAGGGCATGCGATTGACCAAGTAAGATTCGTAGCCTCTGTAGCCAGATGTTTGTTGAAATGGGCCACTTAATCTTTTGCCAGGCGAGCTTATGAAACCAGAATTAATCATGCGATGGTCAGGCCCAGATGTTGGAGCTGCTTGACCTGACCAGAGATGACCACTTGGACTGCTCTGTTCTACGGCTCTCTTGTTTTGCCAGCAGTCAATGTGGTTCAACCTTGGTGAATGATTGGAGTGTATAGGAGAACTGAACCTTGGCACTCTTGGAAGAGTTGCATAGCTCAGTGCCATTTCTGAGTATTCGCTACTTTTGATAGTTTCACCCCCGTCAGGCAAAGCCAAAAGGTTTTTGAAGTTTGTACCTCCTTAAAACAGAGAAGAAAAAATAAAAAAGGAGAAAAAAAATGAATGCAACGAAAGAACATTTTTAAATAAAACAAAACACAATTTTAGTATTGTCATCAATTAACAGTAATTTCAAAGCGAACAAATAACAGAAAACAGCAGCTATCTCATAAGTATTAACTTTGACATGGCATTTAAAATAATACTTGTGACATTTGCAAGAAAAGGTGTATGATTTTAAAATACAAAATACACAGGCTTTCCTAAAGTAGTCTTGACTTTCCTTTCAAACCAGGAGGTGGTCCTCCCTTGCTTGTGTCCTGAACTTTCCACAGATGAACATATGTGGCACATTTCAGATTTGGTTCGATCTCCGTCTATCCATATTTCCCAATCAATAGCTTTGAGAAAGTCTATAAGCCCTTCATCCTTTCTCAGCACTCCAGTAGTGGTAAAGCTGCTTAAAATTCACCTCTTTTAGAATGTGCATTATTGCCATAATTTCCAATATTTATGTCAACAAATACCTTCCACAAAGGTGGTCTCTGCATCTTGGCTTCCTAAAGCGAAGGCTCCAAAAACACTTTTACTATACGTTACAAGCTATCAAGCACTGCCTTTTTCTGATGTGGATTTTGGTCACACATGTTGCTTTGTCTTCCTAAATGTATTTTCTTTTGCATCAATTATTTTTCTCTCCCATTTTTTTATTTGGTGCTGGGGGACTAGCCATATGTAATGTTGCCATGATTAACCAGGAAAACAAAAAATGTGTTCATACTTACCGTAAACTTTATTTTACTGGTTATTTTCCACAGTAACATATTTATTGAACACCCCTTCCCCCATTCTTCAGTGACTTATGGGATAGAATAAAGCTGTTCTGATTTCTGAGATGCAAGGAGCCACCCATTAGAGAGAAGTTCTTATACCCACTGCTGAAATGAACGACTCTACCCAATGCCCATAGGGTTCCACAAAGATCTGTAATTATATCTTACTTGTGTTGTGTAAACTGTATAAAACATTTACAAATATATTCAGAAAGTAAAATATCTGTTCCATTTGAGACAGATATTTGAAATGCAATTGCAAAAATTGGTCCCTATACATTTAATGTATTTTGCACTTGGTGATATGTACAATAAACCACAAAGACGTTTCAGGGTGTGTTTGAAATGGCTTGGAGGTCACATGTAACTGAAATTATGTAGCCATACAATTTCAATGTTCTGTCGTGAAATCATGGATTTGTACATATCATGTACAATTTGTATTTGCATTTAGCTAGTTCTTGCCCATTTGGCTTCAATCTCACATTTAATGTTTTCTCAATCTACTTTTTTAGGCCAGCATAACTAAAATTGGAAATTCTTTTCTTTTGATATGAAAAGAAAGTGATATAAGTATCCTGTATAGGCTTTGCAATGCTTGCAATAAATCTATTATATGTATCCAATAGGGTTGCCAAGCAGGTGGA